CGCGGTGGCCTGCTGTGGCCCGGCCATGCACATGCATGGCGCACGGAGGCCCAGCTCCTGCGGCAGTGGTACTACGGCGGCCACGGTGACCGGAAAAAGGGAGCAGGAAGGGCGGCGTGAGCTGGGGAAGGAGGTGCCACGGTCAGCATGGAGTGGTGGAGCACAGAGGCGAGGGGCACAACAGCGCTGCAAGCTCGGTGGCAGCGGCGAACTGAGCAGGCGACACCGGCGGCCAGGAGGCTCTGCATGAGGTGGGGAAGGAGGAGGAAGGAGAGGGGAACCAGCGGCATGGCAGTGTGGTGGTTGGAGGCTCGAGAGAGAGCGAGCGCGTCGTGGCCATGGGAGCACAGCTCTGCGGCCATGGCTGTGCACGCTCCAGTAGAGTCGATAGAGAGCAGAGAGGGAGTGGGGAGGCAAGTGAGGGGTGTCAGGGCAGCTCGGCATCTTCACATCGCGAGCGTGGGTGAGGTGGCGGTCATGCGAACAAGCACGAGGGCCACGCGGCAGCGGCGTCCTACGCTCGGTCGGCCAAGCTTCAGTTTGAAATCGGCTGAGCTGACAATACCACCTCAAACATACAATGGAAACTCCATATTTCACATCCTCTATCTCCCGATAAGGTGGTCCTGTGATCACGACGCAAGAGGAAAATATGTAGATCTTTGTGAGGTGAACAAGATTGCTTTAAGAATCAAGAGCTAACTCGGCCTATATTTGGAGATATGGATCTTCAAAGGAGGGTACCTCAAAACCGAATTCTGCAATTCAGTTACGGGCTGACTGAAACTGCATTATTCTCCCACTTATACTCCCTAATACATCTAGTTTGAGCAGAAACCTCAGTAATAGAAGTTGTATATCTACAGTAGTACTACAACTTCTATTAAAGGTTCATGAACTGGTTCGGCCTGGTTTGGGAGATATAGAGCTCCAAACAAGCTAACCTAAAACTAAAATTTCAGTTCCCAGACTTAGTAAAATTTTGAGTACTGAAAACAGCTGAAGGTTCCAAGTTTGAGCCTCGGTTTGACTTTCTTAAAACCTGATATAGCTCTTGGTCCAAAAACAAAGTTGGTTCTACTCCTCTCAAACTTCAACTCTTATTTAAGGTGCAACTCCATGCAAGCAATGTAAGCGATTGGTCAACACCGGTCAAAGTAGCATCACGGTAAAGGTCTGGTTGATGACCTATAATTCCATTCGCTCAATAAAGCAATCCAAGAAAGATTATAACTTATCATTTCATGTGACTTCTTGATTCCAAACTTCATGAAACTTTTCCAATCATCCATGTGGGTGGAAATTGATGTGAGACACATGAAATAAGCACCTTCAACATTACTTAGGTAAATTACCGAAAAGGACCAATATGTAAGCAAAGGTGTGTTGCCCAAGTTTAAGTTGGAGTTCACTCTTGTAAATTTAATCTTGACACCTTCATCACCACTTAACATGTCATGTTTAAGTTCAAACCCATTACTTAACTAGCGACAAACACCTGGGGTGTTACAACACTGGCACATGCTAATGTCTGAAAAGAGGACCAAATAAGATAAGGTTGCTGAAAGTAACATTAATGGTCTGACAATGTATGTTCTTGTAATTTATCTACTTGACCACCGCCTGGCACATCGACCACAGCAAGTGCTGTTTTCGTAGCTATACTAGGAACCTATCGCAACTCGCAAGCAGAAATTTGGAAGGCTGAATCACCTATTGCTGACCTATGCCTGCTTGCAGACTGCTAGTGCAGTCCTACACATGGAGCCTTCCATATAAATAGAGAAGCCTACGCAGGTGTAGTATTGCCGGTGGACATGAACCCATGGGCAGGTGAACTATATGCACGACAAGGATGGGCTACTTGAGTAAATATTGGTACTGTTAACTGTAGGTACCTTCAATGAGATGCTCCTCAGGCACGCCACCAATCTGGCAGGTGCCGGATGCAGTGCATTGCTATGAACACGTTAGGCCCAAGTGTTGCATGCGTGATTGCGATTACACGAGCTGTACCTTTTGTCCACTGGTAGGGTCACTTGAGGGACCTTCTAGGTGCCGCCTCCTACCCTACATAGGTTTTTAGGAATCTGTGTCAGTGTTGTCCAATACTGTAGATAGGTCTGGGTGGCTACCCTAGATAGGCTTTTAGGAGGTTGTGTTGGTTTCACTATGTGCACGCGTGCACAGAGAACTACATTTTTGGCCGGCTACATGCATCCATCCACCCCATAACAAAACACACATTAGGTCACCCTTGTGTATTAGATCTTCCACCCTGCTGACAGTAGTGCACATGCATGGCCATATTTCACTTACCTAGTTGCTCTATTACTTTCATTGACCAGCTCGTGTACTAACTTAATAGCGAATGATGGAAGCCTTGGACACAAAAAATGACAGCAGTTAATAGGAACATATCTTGCAGGCCCACACCCATTCGGCAAGATGCATGACCTGCACTCACAGACACAAAGAAACATCTACAACAATACATAAATGTACCTTGTAAACCCTTGCATCAGAGTTTGATGGATGTGGTATTTAGAAGCCATCATCACGGCGTGTCCATAGAGCTAAATGGGTAGAATGGGTGAGGAATTGGGTTCACCAATTACGACCCAGTTCCATCGATAGGCCATGCTGCCTCTTTCTTGGTCGGCGAGAGGAAGCCCCACATGCAATTAATGTGTCCCTGTGGAGGGGCTGAGGACTATAAAAAAGCAGCATCCAATGAAGTGAATGGACAATTGATGGGACATACATAAAAGGACAAAAAAATTCAGCTGGCCTTCCCAGGTAGGATAGTTACTACGGTAGGAGAAATTTACACCACATGTGTCTTCTTCCCTTATATATAAATTATAAATTTACTATCAGCTACTCCTTTGCACGTAGGAAACCTACTATGAGCCACTCCCCTGTGGCCACAACTGTCAGCTACTCCCCTGCATGCAGCATCTAATGCCTTGCATGAGGCAGACGAAACGAGAAACAGAAGCACAGCATGCAGGTGGCTGTGAGAAATAGGACAAAGTACAGTTAGGTAGTCCATAACTCCCCTATGGCCACAACTGTGCACAGTATAGGCTGCCCAGCCCATTTATGGCTTGCCCAGTACATTTATGGCACAGCCCATTTATGGCACAGCACAGGTGGACTAATCTGTTGCATCCTTTCCTTTGTAGTACGTGCCTAATTGTTTTCCCACTGATGTTCCAATTTAAAGAACTTTAAAAGCCTATGAACAAAGACACACCAAGGAAATAAACAGGCCACGCTTTCGAGGACTCGGTTCCTAGCTCTCTCCCACCATGTCCGAAGAGCTAAATCAAGGCTGACAAACACAGGAGAAGGGGAGGCGATAACGGGGACACAGGCCACGCAGCCACCACGGTGGTGTGGGAACGGGAAAGCAACGCTCTCATGTTGCCACTTTTGGATAGGAAACATATATGTTGGACAATAAGTGGGTGGCTCGTCCTCCACAAGGTAGGAGCTGTACGAACCACCCGGTATTAGTAAAAAATCATTGCCTTTGAACTGCTAGCAGCATTGACCGTTGTTGGTGGTGCAGCTAGAATGGATCTCCTGATGACCATACTAAATAATAAAATCTGGCATCAACTAAACGTAGGCAGTGGTGAGACTGCTAAAGCGCAACCATCATACGTACTAGACATCTCACTTTGATGCTTGGTAAATTTTGGCAGGCCTTTCATGCACAACTTGCCTCCGACGGCAATATATTTATGTCAGGAACCCGACGGGCATCCAATTTTTGGGCAATTGGTTCATGCAGACCGTTGAACAGAAGCAGCAACAAAACAATCAGGTCAGCGTTCATCGCCCCTACTCCATCATCCTGATTTCCACAATCTCCATGGTGAAACATTCCTGTTTTCTATTTTTTCCCATTCACCAACCAGAGCACAGACAAGAGGTACAATCCTCATGTGAACCAAAACACACAAACTTAACATAGGACTCAAGGTGCTAGTGCACACACTGCATAGATAGTAGTGTAATGTACAAGGCACTAGATACGTGCACAAGGGAGACAATTAGACGGAACACTTTAATCGACTTGAAGCTAGTCCACACGGAGATAAAACAAACAGGGGGCATACAAATTATTTCTTCGAGCTCAGCAACCGAAAATGGTTGGTGGCAACATAGTGCCAAACTACTCTGGCCGACAGGTAAAGGCCCTAGTTTAGGCACTGCACCTAAGAAGAAGACATAAAGATCCTTATCTACTAAACTAGCATAGTGAACTAATGGATACATGGGCCCAAGGATCTCCAAAGTCCAACACAAGTAAGGACTCATAGGCCAAGTTCATACCACAACGGGACACTACCCACTACATAACACACTTAAAACTAGAACACCGATTATGGCACCAACATGGAGCGCATAGAACAGCATCAGATTTATTGGATGAAGCTGTGTAGCGATAGGTGGTTGATGGTGGAGCCCAAGGACGTAGGCCTTCGCATCGCTGCAAATTAGAAATACTTTGTCACCCAATTGATGGAACTAAACAATAAAATAGTATAAGAATGAATAAGCTACCTTGCTCTGGCTTTCTTTGCGGGGAATAGATCCTTGTGAGCAAACCTCGGTCTCTTGCCAAGTATAGTTCTGCAAAAAAAAACTATATAAGAAAAACACCCATGCAATGACCGTACTCCAACCGGGAAGGTGACCATAGCCACACATAAGGTTCAATGTTGGAGGAACCTAATGTAATACCTTCTAAACTAATTTCGAGCGGTGCGAAGAGTGCACCATGTGGGTATTGCAAATGATTTAGATTACTTAGTCCACAAAGGTACATACCCATGCTCCTCATGAACATCAGAGGGTACCTCCTTCCCCTTGATGGATGAGGTTTTGGTAGTAGCTATTGTGGCAGGTGCAGGAGGAGGGGTCGAGCCACCTTCTACATTGTTAGGAACCTCAGGAATGACAAGCACATGTGCCTAGTCATCTTTTCATGAGGCAACACTTGATGTCCCAATCTTGGTCATAGCTTTGGGATTCTTAGCATCTTGCAGCGAACGTCTGGTAGGACCACGAGCCTCAGAAGTCGTTGGATCGAGGAACACCCTCCTAGCTTGGAAGCATAGCTGCCCAGTCCTAAAGGTTTGCTCACTGATAACCACCTGGAAGACATACCTTTGACCAACAAGGCCGCGAAGGGGTGCAGGCAACAAAATCTGATTGGATGAGCTTTCTTCAACAAGCTCAGTGGCAGTCCGCCGAACAACCTGTTCAGCTACTCCTCCGAAGAGAAATATTTTCATGTGGCCAGTGGTATCCTCGATGATCACACTTAGCTTATAGCTTGGGTGGGAAAGAAGAAGCCACATCAGGAACAAGCTAGCTACCTTTGTCAGGTGGGGAGGGACAGTACCGGTTGAAGCAAGGATTACCTGGGAATAACCACTGGCTTAGGCTCATCGTAGTTAGTGCATTCGAAGCCATCAAAAGTAGCCTTCAACCCCCACTTGCATGTATTGCAACCTTTATACCACCAACCATTGGAAACGTCTATCTCTCTTATAATTGCGTTGCAGGTGAAACGAACACCCTACATGGAAGGGCAGACCAAATTTCAGCAACCTGACCTGAGTAGTGCATATAGGTAATTGGTATGAAGGAGGCAATACATTGCTGTCATGAGGATCCAATGCTAGGAGCTCAGCAATAGTTTTCCTGTTGGCGCCTGCTTCGTCAACAACACCCACCTCTGCATCATCATCGCCGGGCAAGAACACAACTTCCGAGCCTCTTCCCTGTAAACTAAGGACAAGGGCAACAGCCATTTACACACCCTGCAAATCATTAAAGGCTAAACAACAGGTGAATCGTATTACCTAACATGAAAAGCATTCATTTCTGGAAGGTCAATGTTCATGTACCATTTAGTGCCATCACCGCTCGCACATGTTGTGGCACCTATGTTGGCAATGGGTTGGACAGGTTATAACAGGAACTGGGGTAATGCAGAGGATACATGGAAAGGATACGATAAATAGCACGCACCTAAGTATTGTTTCACTTGCACCCTAGCAAAAATCATCACAACAGGTTCAGCTTTATCAATGGTTTCAATAAGGAGCTGGTCCTCAAACGAGGTTGCATGCTCGCCCCATAATGTAATTTGTAAGAGACGGTCGCTGCAAGGGTAGTTACAATAAGTGTATGCTAACCAAAACACTCATAAACCACCACGGAACCAACCTTAGATCACGCAGCTCCACCACCCTCCGCACGCACACACCATTTAGCCCACTAGATTGCACCACCGGATGTATGACTGTAAGTTGTCCGATAACATCTGTTGGGAATCCAAACACCATGTCACCTGCGAAGTAAACCCCGGAAAATAGGAAAAGGGAACCTAAATAGTCAAGGCAAGGGCAGTAAATACCTACTAGGCCATGTCCGTTCCTCTGTCTCTGGGCTAATTCCTCAAAGTCCACAAAATTGAAAACATAGAGGGGAAGCTGGGTGGCTAGCTCTGTAGGTATCTCCTCTATGATAGTCCACGGTGTAAAATAGATTGTTTGTGGGTTTGGTACAGGGCTATACTTTGGGGGTATTAACCCCTATACCCTTACGGCTAGGTTTGGGCCGGCCCAGACCAGGGGGTTCGGTCCACCAGAAGACGACGCGTGGCCAAGCCGATCTGCTCGAAGTCCCGCGCAAGGAATCAAGGCAGACTTGGAGATCAAGCAAGATCCTAGTCGGTTAGAATAGGAATCCTTATCTGGCCACCTATGGCAATTGTAACTGGTTAGGATTAGTTTCTAGATCTGTAACCCTACCCCCAAACTATATAAGGTGGGCAGGGGACCCCTCTAAAAAACAATCTCATTGACATACAGCAATACAATCAGACATAGGACGTAGGTATTATGCCCTCACAGCGGCCGAACCTGGATAAAACCTCGTGTCTGTCTTGCGTCATCATCTCGTTCGTAGCTTGCGCACCTGTCTGCCGATAATCTACTACCTTGGGCATACCCCTAGGTAGACTGCCGACCATATTTCGTCGACAGTGGCACGCCAGGTAGGGGGTGTGCGTACTGCTCCCTAGACGAACAAGATGGTCATCATCCCTGGCTCCATGGCTACGCCGAACTGGCTCCGACAACTTCATCGCCATGACCACGGAGGAGGCGCAGATCCAATCTATCGTCGACCACTGCTTCACCAGCATCGGCTATGGCTCTGACCACGTTGGATCTAGCTCTGGCCACACCAACGTCGTCTTCAGCCACGCCGACAACCCGTCGTTCGCTTCCTCGCTACAAAGGGAGGCAGATCGACAACACCGACCTGCTCGACTCCATCGATCAGGTCGGCACCAAGCTTGCTGAAACCGTAGCTCTGGTAGATTCGATTCAAAATCAACCTACCGAGCAGGTAGCCACTACCCACAACAGATCTACCCGACCAGCTCGGGCCAGTCGTCCTGCACGACTCGGTACGGATCTTGTGGTCACGTCTACTCCTGAAGGGTGCTCCGTTCATCGCTGACCAGCCCCCGCAACGGGTCTTCGGCTCTCTAAGTGCAAAGCCTTGATGGAGAATTACCAGGCCCAGCCCTACGGCCTGCAAAACACTGCTTCCAACTATGCGTACAATATACCTCGGCCAAAGCCACACAACTTCGTCAACATGGTTTGGATTGAGGAGTATCAAGAAGGATCGGTCCACACAGTTCAAGAGGGTGGCTCAAGCTCCCCGTCCAGCACCACATCTAATGGCTCCATCCACACTGAGCTTCAGCTTCGCGACGATGAATAAGTTGATTACGATCTGGATATCCCAGACCGCCCCCCGGGGTTTTCACGATTCCCATCCTTTCCACCAAGGCGAGGAGACTTAATCAATGTCATCAGCAATGATGAACCCCCGGCAGTTGGTGAAATAGAACAAGAAAGGCTAGCACGCGAAGCACGCAATATTGACCGGTTTAATCGTAGACAAGCCGAAGTCGAGGTAGAAGTGGACGCACGACGCATAAGGCTCCAGCCACGCGATCTCAACAATGTATTTGATAGGGTAGGGGAAAAGCAGGTCTTTAGGACTCCAAGCGCCAACGTAGCTGTTGCTATGGCGACAATGCAACGACTGCCCAATACCCCGGAAATCCAGGCAATTCGTGATGATATGCAAGCCTACCTGACGGCTGCTATGGCCCAGACCATAGAGATTGCGAACCAAGCTCGGGCTCTGACCCCCTCAGTCAAATAAAGTCATAGTCGTCAGTATTCAAGTTGCCCACAGCCACTCAACCAATGTGGCTCGTGCAACAACGTCCCACCAAACAACCGTCAAGGCAGAAACGGTGGTCATGATGGTGGTTGGGACGACAACCGCCGCTACAACCGGGACGATAATCGACGAGAAAACCGCGACAATCGCCGTGATAACCACGGTCGCAGGGTCAACCAGGGCGGCAATCGGGATCACCATGATGGCAATAATATCTCCGCCATTACCTCGAAGAACGCGATCTGCGCGATCACATCAACCAAAGATCCAACGATCGTGCATCCTATGAAAGCTATCGTCGTATGGAATATGATACTACCCACGGCCCTCCGGGTTTGAAGCTGTAACAGAACCACCCAATTTATACAAGATCAAGTACGGTTGTCCCCGCTAACACGTTGACACGCGCATACTTTCACTCATATAAACCCGGTAGTCCGCCGAGTGTCCCGAAAGACCTCGGTAAATCAACATCACAACCAAGATCGCGTGATTAAGCAAATACACATCACATGCATAGGGTTGCAGTGGAAATAATATTATAAATGAATTCACAAATAATAATACAAGTTTGGGTTTCAAAACTGATTAGTGAAAACAACATAGCTTTCAAAAGATTACATTAATATATGTTCCAAATACATTGCTAGCATAAGTGACATCATCCGACCAAAGCATATAGATGAGAAGTAACTATAGAATCACCGAGCCCATCGGCGGTTAGCCACCATCTTCAACAGGCCGAGAACTTCACCTGTAACATGGTGGGATAAACCCTGAGTACGAGAAGGTACTCAGCTAGACTTACCCGACAAAACCAGAAATAAAAGACACCAAGGGTCATGCAAGGCTTATGAGGTGGGCTAGCTTGACACATTTGCATAAAAGAGCTTATGAATATAGTGACCAAGTTAAACTTAGCATCAAGCTTATCATCATTTACCTGTCCACTAGATTAGCACCTGTACTAGAGCACTCACTTATTAGGAGCAATCAATATTAACCATAGCAGGTATAATGAGGTTGTCATCATCATATCATCATTTCTGAACCATTAGGTTATTTAGTGTATCTACTTTGGAGATAAGCCCGTCAAGTTCCCACTAACCGGGAGAGATGGCGACTCGAATCGAATTACAACTCAGCTGAGGGGGTATTCCTAACTCTCACCATGGCATACTTTGCAAGGGTAGCCGTGGGTCACCTTTGGGACAACTTAGGAACCAAATTCGTGAGTTCGATCAGCGCCAGCACTCTCATGGATTACCCTTCTGCCAGGACGATCAGGACTTTTAAATCACCTGCCCTTGGACTCACGCCTACGGCTCCCTTCCGAGGCGCACTTTATACTTATCGACTCCCGGTCTTAGGTGAGCTACTCGGCTTCGTGGTCGGTCTCCAGACCCGACCAACTAAGAGAGAGGCATGCGTTCAACATGAACAGGAAAGACTCCAAGATTCAGTCCTTAATCGACACAGACGGAGTCACTGCAAACCGGCAAGCCTCCGTCCGGTCTTCATTTCAAATTAAGACTGGTTCTTTTCCACGATAGCAAATATAGCCAACCGTGCCATATGTATCTTCCTATCTCTCGCAGGTGACAGGAAATCACCTGACTTCTACCGTGTTTAAGCAGAGCTAAGCACTACACGAGCCTGAGCTACATAGGATTCAGGGTATCAATATCTAGACAAGGATTGGATAACCAATGCAGCAAGTGTTTGCATCCAACACCTAAACTTAATGCAACAATATATATATATGTAACAATAATACTGTAACTGCATTTCGAAAATTAGGAGGCTTAATATGCTCCAGGGCTTGCCTGGGATCCGACATAAGTCAGTTCAGTTAGGTTGCACCGTCCTGGTGACATCTCAGGTCCTAGCACTTGCTTAGTCCTTCCATCTTCGGGATAGATCCATCAAACAATGTCTACGGGTTTGGCTCCAACATCGCATCCTTCACGTGGTGCATCTAGAGTACCTAGATGAGATGCAATATGCAAGTGTATGAATACATGGAAGTACAATAGACAATGCATCGCATGCAGTAAGTAAGACAAGCACAAGGTTACATTAATCATGCACAAGCACTTCGCATTGCCTACTTTAAATATCGCATAATTTATCATCCCACGATAGCAAAGAAGATGACAACACCAAGCATGACACAAGTTTCCCAAGATCTCAGGTACTCTAACTCAACCATCATCAAAGGTTTGAGCCACACTTAGCAATATACAAGCAAACAACTATAATTGGAATCTGTCAATTTCTGGACATGCAAACAACAGCTACAAGATTTAGCTATAGCTGGAGTTACACAAATCCAAATGACTTGCAAGAAGACATTTTGGAAAGCTTATAAAATTATCTAAATTTCATCTGTAACCATCATAGCATGATTCACAAGTTAAGTAGGTCGAAATTATACATTTACAGAAACTGGTCCACAATTGACAGAGAGCAGCCATTTCTGAAACCCAACTTTAAACAGGCATAACTCACAAACTACTTGGCCAAATGATACCAAATT